ACATCCACTCCATAAGTTTATTACCATTTGTGGGAAAATATTTGACCCAAATACTCTTTGCTTCTCTGTGACATGGATCCTAATTCTATCACAGTGAGCTGTTTCCTTTCTCAACCACAGAGATATACAATCCAGGCATTCCAACTACACATAAACTCTGTTATTTCTTTTATAAACTCAAACTTGAGCATGAATCTCTTCCGTTTCTCTCCCCTCCTTTTTGATTCCCAATTTGAGAACTATCTCCTCCAACCCCACATTCAACAGGGTATCTGGTCCAAAAGCTGGTCATCTGGGGAAATTCAGAATTCTGAACAAGAACTTCTCTAATTCTCTCTGGATAATGCATTTTTAGGACCATCTAGGAAGCCACATGGATGATTGAGTGGATGGACTAATTTCTAATTTCTCTTGAGTTTGATGGTTCAGATGAAGACTCTTGGTATCCTTGCCCCTTGGTGTTCTTTTGTTATGTTGGCATAACACATCTAAACACAGAAACTTCTGAGAAGTTATCAGGTGAAATCTATCTTATGACATTTTATCAAAGTCTTGCTAGGTCTCCTTTACCTCTTCCTGGAAAGAGGACCTCAAAGTTCCCCAAACATTTCTTTACATTTATCCCAGCTGACTCTTGGAATGTTTCTGATAGAATAATAAAGATATAAAGGTCTGATGCTTCTGAGGGAAGAGGTTCATGCTAAAGGTTATACCCCAGCAAGTATAGTTTCTAGTGATATTCTGTTTCATTGAAAAAACACCATTCTAGGACATAAAAGTTTATCTTTTGAGTACCCATTAGAATTTCATTATATTTCAAAGCCATATGATTTTTAAAAATGCTCTAGAAATGTTTGAGAGATATTCTTCTGAACCTTTGTGGAACACGTTCTGACATTAAATGAATTAATCATCTAACGTAACTCTAGAGAGAACCTAATTGATGCTTGTAGTGTGGATTAGCAAAAGTTTCATGAAGTCTGTTACAGACACAGATTTTGCTTTAGATAAAACAAAAGATTAAAACCACTAAGAGTTTTAACAATTTCTCTTATATATAAATAGTATTCCTCCAATATATAAAAGACATTAGCAGAAGACTACCTCAGTCAAAACAGGAAAATCCAGTTGAATGGGATATTTCTGATAGAACATTTTTAGAATCACAAATAATAATTGAAATAATTCTTAGTTTAGAATATTTTAAAATTTGATCACTAGGAAAGAACATAGATGTGGAGGTATTACTATTTGGGTCAGACAGAATTGAATTACGCTATTTTTATATTAATACGAAATGATATTTGGACATATGGTTAATTTAGGTGTTACAAAAATGAAGATAAAAGTCATTATGCCCACTTATGTAACAAAAGTAGAAACACTACAAAAGTTATTCCATACCTCTTTTGCTTACTGCAGTTAATGTAAAAAATAAATATCTAAAAACAATTTGAGAAATGTGTACTATGCAAACTTATTCAAAATAAGAAACTTCTGAAAACCAGAATTTGTAAAACAAGTAAAAGCAGTATTATTGTAATAATAAACATCTGTAAATGTATTTGAGAATAATTTATGTGCTCAATTAAATATATCTAAAACATACTGTAGCCATCATTTTCCTATTTGAAATATGAATTATTATCAATACAAAAGTAGGTTAAAAAGTAGTTTTTTCTTAAATTCAAAAATGGTGTTACTAGCAATAGACATATATTTTTAGGCTGATTTTTCATTTGTAGTACTAAATTTTGCAGTGATATTTAACCAAGGCCATTTGTGACAGTGTTACGCATTTTCACAATGGTTGACCAATCTTTCACTCCAAAGTACAATTTAATGTTTTTTTAAAGTAAGTTTTGAACCCATGATTGTAGCGCTGTCACACTTCAGTTAACCAATGGGCCTAGATTGTCCCAAAATAACGTTTATGGTTTTGTTAAGTGAAAACTGAACGGTTGGTCACCCTTCCTGTTATCATGGAAGCAGAAATTCTTGTCTTCATTTTTCTTTTTCATCCCTAACCCAACATGACAACACAAAATATTTGACTCATTGACTTGTCTACTCATCTGTATCAACAAATCTCGCTCTTGGCTTGCATTACCTATTGCTGTTTCTCTCTTTTCACTTCTGTAGCCACTAACCAAAATATATTACTTCAGTCAGAGATCTTCACCTTCGGAACCTTGCCCTCTTCAGTTCTAGGCCACATGGGAGCGTTAGCACAGTGCTCCTCACACACTGTCGTTAATGCTTTTTCTTCCCTATTTAAGAACAATTAGTAACTTTCTATTGCCTGTTATATTAAGTGTAAACCTTTAATCCTAAGAGTTCATTATTCTCCCTTCATCTGACCCTTTTTCATTTAGCAATCCCATTTCTTCTTGCTCTTTGGCACAGTTGTTCTGCTACTTCCAAGCCATCTGGCTGCTCTTAGCACACAGAATTTGCTTCTAACTGCTTCCCTACCTGTGCAGATGTCACGCCTTGAATCACTGGAAGCCTGCTGCTTCCTGAGACAGCCCATTCCATCTTTGGATAGGTTACTTAGAGAGGTTTTCTCTTTACTGAGCTAAATCAACTCTAGTATATTGTGTATGATTTTTACTTTTATCTTTGTGTGTCAGTCTAAGGGTGTCTTCCTTCTCAGTTGTTGTGTATATGTGTGTTATGTCTACAGTGGCAATTTTCATAAGCTCTCTGCATCCGGCTCTCCCATGCTTCCGTACCCTGATCTACCCTCCCACCAACCCAGAATCACAGTAGCTTGAGCTCTAACTGTGCACAGTAAATGTTTAATGCATGTTTGATGACTAAGCTACCTTCTAAATAGGGAATAAATATCTTCTAAAAATAGAAATAATTCTCTATTTAGAAGGTAGCTTAGTCATGTGAAAGTATATATACTTAACTACACTTATCAAAGGATCACAAAATCTCTGTCTTGGAAATGGTTCTATGAATTTTTTAATTGTAAAGATTGAACATAAGCCTGATCACGTGCATACTCACACCCACCCCCATCCCACACAGCAAAATGCCTAGACAATACCAATTGTTTAGAAAAACCATTACATTTTGTATGTTTGTTTATAATTGACTAACTGAGACAGTATTACATGTTGTATATCTACACAGATTCAAAATGGCTTGGTTCTCTATATATATGATACACTGTTATATTCTAGATCATAAAACAATTGGCATATTCAGTGTCACATGTGTAATTTCAAACAATGCAGGAAAAATATTGATATTTTTGCCTACATTTAACATGTGAATAAGAGAAAATATCTTGGCATTGTTAATACCAAAAAAAAAGGCAATTATATCTTTCAAATCGCCTATGAATCCTGACCTTTTATTAGTATCTCTAAATTGCTAATCTCCAAATATCCTTGCATTTTAAACTGTTTCAAAAAATGTGTTTCCATAACAATTTTAATTAAATCTCTTGTGATATAATTGTAATCAGCCACAGCATATAATTAGACTTCAATCAGAACCTTTAATGCTATGCAGTAATCTGAGAGTAGACACTTTTAAAAATGTTATGTCAATGTGCGTTTCTTCTCATGACCTCTCTCTGCTTCACCCAAGTGACACTATAACAAAGGGTGGTAACTGAGCATGGAGAGCAGAGGTTGATTTCCATTTATCCCACATAATGTGGAAAATTTTGTCCGGGGGCAGCTAGGTAGGGTCATCATCAGTAGATGTCTGGTATAAAGTTGAACACATGGTGATAGGCTTTTCACTAAGGCTGTGACCAATAAACACTGGCTTCTTTGTAGATTGGCTACCGAGGGTTGAGCGTGCCCCTCACAGCCATGCAAGAGCCTGAAGCTCTAGAACACCATTGGCGTGGGTGAGGTGAGTTGCATGGGCATGGAGGAACAGTGGGGAGGGCTCATCTATAGACCTTATCGCTCTGTTGTGCTGCTTTGCAGGTCCTGAATTATCAGCAGTGAATTATTCTTTTTCAGTTCTTATTATTACTAGGTTTCTTGAAAGCCCACTTTTATGTCTTCCCATTAATCAACTATGTAATTTTGGAAGGCAAAATGCATGACGCTCAGAGCTAATTATGCATTCTGTTATGCCTTTAGATATCTGGGTGAAAGTCAGGTTCTAACACTCAATCCCTTTCCTAAAATTCATTTCCAGAAGTGATGATTTAATGATCTATTTACTTTAAAGGTTTGCCTTTGGGGACTGATTATCTTGGTTAGCTCTTTTGAAAGAACAGACTTTTCTTTCATGGAATCTCTAAGTATTTAGACAAAAATCTTTGTGGGCTTTGAAATGTGTTTAATGCAAAATGTGTTGGAACCTATGCTTTGACTATCCTTAGGGAGAAAGGACCCTTTTATATCTATGCAGAGAATGAGAGGCATAGTGTTCAGAATTCTCAGATTCCATTGATTAAATATGGTAACCAACCAGCTGTGGAAGCAGGATGGATAAGGGCAAATCGTAGCTTTGTTTTTCGACTCTGAAGTCAGTACTTGTGAACAATAAAAGAATGATAAAATGACAAAATACTTAAATGTGATGATTAGTAATCACTTCCTCCTGATCATTTCTGTTCTTCTGCTATTCACAGCCAATCATGTTACATGTAACTAGCTAGTTAGGAATGCAAACATTAGTCTCACGTATGCCCTTCAATTTGATCTCTTATTTTCCTTTTTACTCTGCAGGTTTGAAAAACATCAGTTTTCAGTAATAACATCCATGACTTCTAGGTATAGACCATACACTTGATTACAATAAAGAAATATTTTCCTGTATTTCTAACAGCAGAGTGCAGTATTTTGCAAGGAAATGTGCCTTTGTGACTTAGTATATATTCATTTCTGTTAGTCTGTGTTGTTTTTTTTTTTTTGAGCTCTTATAACATGGTTCAATCAGACTGTGTGCAAAAACTCTTCCACTGTAAACTCTACATGATTTTTTTCTAAAAATTAAGTCAGAAATACAACATCGATCGAGTTCTGGATTTAGTGAGAACAAAAGCAAGGTGGATTTCAGGTGCGGAAGGACTGTCTCCTTCTACATGTCAGTGTCCACCCCAGAGCCACATTGGTGGCAGAAGATTTCCTTGTTGTGAGTCAGGAAGCCTTTCCCCACCAAGGAGACTGAGCACTTCCCACAGTTAAAGCATTCGCTGTGCCACTGGCGGTCTTGAAAGCAGATAAACTTGGTGTCTCTGAGACCTGTAAAGCAATTGGAGAAAAAGAGTAATCTATTCTTTCAACAAATAGATTGAGCGTTCTCTCAGGGACTCTTCTGGGAACTGGAGATACAGCAGTGAGCAAGGCCGCGTAGAGGCAAGTAACCTAAGAAAGGAGGCTTCCCCCCGTGACCTGTGTCTATTTGGGAGAGTCCCCCATGGACAAGTTCTTTCTATGAGACCCAGCCAGATTCTCAGTCAAATTTTTCCATAATCGACATAAGTAGGTAGAATCTGGGTATACAAAGCACATATTTTTGGAGACAGTTAAGGATTGCCTAAGACATAAGGAAATAAAGGTTAGTGCCGTGAGAAGAGGGTATAGGTTTTGAAGTCAGGCATATCTAAGTATGAATATTTTTTTTCCTTCTTTGTGACCCTGTTTACTTAGAAGCAAAGTTAAGATAAAATAAATGTATACTTCCCAGCCTGTTATTTGATATTTTAATGACTTTTAGTTCTCTTCTCTTCCCTCTTTTTTCATGTTTCATTTTATTCAGGATAAAGTCCCATGGTCGTATTGTGGTGTGGGACACAATTCCCAAAAGCCCTAAATAGAGAATTCCATCTATCCTGTAGCTAGCCTAATGTGATGACCTCATTACCTTGCCCAGAGGTGACTTCAGCACAGGCTTGCAGCAAAGATCTGTGAATCTGATCCCTCTGGCCAATGAGGCCATGCTCCCCATTGATGGGTTTCTAATAGGTGCTTTGTCAGCCTCTGTCACTTCAACTTGGGCCTCACTTGAGCCATAGGGTTCCTAAGAAAGGTGTGAGAATTTGAGTTTTCAGTGAGACTCATCTCTATATCCCAAATATGAATCCAGCATACGGTTCAAGGAACTGATTTTGAGGAGTCGTAGAAAAGGAGAAAAGGTCTAAGAATTGGGAAGGGGTTGGAATGCCCTAGGCTTGAGTCTTTATTTGCCAATGATAATGAACTTTTGTTTTCATCCTGGAAACGTTTTTTGATGTCTTCACATAAATTTACTAGTTCAGGGATAAATTTACATCAAATTCTTGTACTTTTCTTGATTAAATTTATAGCTTATTTATAATGCTGTCATCACTACTTTCTAATAAGAGTAAATCAATAATGTACCAATTAATTCCCTTAATATTCAGAACACTAATAAGCTGACTGCAAGAATAAAGTTCTGTATATACATAAATCATCTCTTCATAAAACTAATTATTATACATCCAGCATTTTGATGCACATGAGGTTTTCTTGGTTTTATTATTAGGCCTTGTACAGGTGGCAAATGTAAAAATAATTCTTTCTAGAATTTTACAAAGAAGAATAAAAAAGAAGCATCTGGTAGCAGGGATATAAGAAAGTCCTGACTCAACATGTGAGCTGATTGTAAAGTTTTTTGATTTTGGATATGTTTACTCCCTCAGGTCACAAGGGTAATTTGCAGTAAGAAAGTCAACAACAGGTCTCTGACACCTGTTTTATTTGGCTTCATTCATTCCTGAAAATTCTGTAGAATAAGAGCTAGCATTTGTTGAGAACTTGAAGATGAGCCAGTCACTGTTCTAAGCCCTTTACTTCATATAGCTCTCACCTCACCTTCATGGGGTAGGTATTACCATCAACCCAACTTTGCAGACAGAAATTGTTGGACAGAGAGGTTCAGACTCTTGGCCAAATCACCCAGATGCTAAGTGGCAGATCTGGGATTCAATCCTAGGCCATCTGGTTTCAGAGCCTTTGCTCCTAACTTCACCAAATTGTCTGAATTTTCTTTTTTAAAGAACATAACCAGGAACCTTAGCATCCCTTTCTGAAGAAATCAACATTTGAAACTCACTTTACTAAAAATAAACAGAAATAGAAGAAAGCAAAGATGTGATCTTGTTCAATTCCTCATTTTGCAAATAAGGCAAATGAGGACCTTGGAGGTGAGTTTTGTACCCACGGGTCACACAGGAGTCAGGGGCAGAGGCAAGACCAAGGTCTTTTACTCCCTAGATCAGAGCTCTTCCTACTAGATCAAGCTGCTTCGTTTATCCCAGAAAGTTTGCAAGGTAAATCCTATCTTAGAGGAGGAGAAAAAATTGTAATTACATCTTGAGTTTGTTCCTTATAGATTTAGTTACTTTAAAATAGTGTTTTGAGAACATTCTAACATAGTTTCTTAGGATGACATATTGTTTGCATGAATGTACAACTTTCAGAAGATAAATATATGGTAGTATAGTTCCCTGTGGTACATTAGTTCAAATAGTTCAATTTTAAAGAAGCGCTACTACAGGGCCTATATACATTTAAGAATCAGATCAAAACATATTAAAGTGAGTTGGAAGTTTTTGCAGGCATTTAGTTTCTGGTGTCTCTCAATCACAGAGCTAAAAGAAGGTTAAGATAATGACCAAAAGACTGTCCTAAATTAAATGCATATCCTGCATGTGGATTACTTTGGGGACAAATCATTGGTTCCTGATCATCCCTATGCTTCCTGTGGAACAATCTGGTTTTTCTGTCTGACCTAAAAAAAAAAAAAAAAAAAAAAAAAGCTGTGCTCAGTGATTGACCTGTAACAACCCATCAGAAAAATCACATAAATCTGTGATGGGTCAGAAATGAAACTCATCAAGTTCAGGGCTTGTGTAGGCACTTTCAGATCAGTATTAGCCATTTGGGTCCCCAGAAAATTTTCAAACCATTTTGAGTTGTTTAATTTTCTCATTTCTTCACGGAACACCCCCCCCCCCCCCCCCCCCCCCCCCCCCAATTTTTTTTTCTGGCCAATTCAAGAAAAGTGTTGTAGAATAAATTGACTAAATCCATTGGGCAGTGATTGCAGATTCTACTAAGATTTTGTTGCTCCAGTTACTGTTGCATTTATGGAAGTCCCATTTCTAACTAAAACCAGTAGAGATGGTGGCTTATTCTCTTGGCTTTAGGAGTCGCCAGATGTATAGAAGCAGGAGAGCAGAGTGGTTAAGAGCCCAAGATTTGGAGCCCTATAGTCTGGGATTGCCAACGTAAGCCCTTGAAAGGGCTGGAGAGGTGACAGAGCTGAGTGATAGAGACAAGGTGGAAGCAGCAAAGGGGCCATGCCCTACATAACGGGCCAGCCACTCAGCTCCATATGACCGTGACCCGGCCGGGAATGTGAGGGTAGTCTGCTCACCCTGGGCAGGCTCTTTGTTTACTTTTAGGCTACAGAGATGGATTTTACATTAGTTGTTTACAAACAAGTGCAGGCCAAACAAACCATGCTTGCTGGCCAGATATAGCCCATAGGCCAGTGTGAGATCTGAAAAACATGGTGCCTTCCCTGTACGGACAGACAGAACTATGTTCTGTTCATCAGGAAACTCCCTCCCTTGCAAGTAAGTGAAAGCCTGTCAAGCTGGGTTTGCAGCAAAACTCTTTATTTGAAGCTGAATAAATATTCAGTTTTACTTTGTGATATCTTTGAAGATAGAGGAAGAGGAAAAGGATAAAATAATCTTTAATTCTGTGTTATATAGACTGAGCTAAAAGTGAAATATGACCAAAGAGTAGTAGGAATGGAGAACAGAAGTATAGTTCTGCCATGTTATTTGGTGACCATACATTGCCTAAAAGGATAGCTGTTGGATTTCTCAGGTGTGATGAGCTCTTCAGTTCCTTTACTACAGGATTAGCATTTTAGAAATGTCTCTAAGGAAAATATAATGCTCTTTTTACCTTGAAAATCCATTTAACACAGATCGATTTACCATTTATGTTATTTTCAAATCATGTCATGTATTTTGTTTCTTCAACAGAATGCTATCTTGTTTTTTTTTTTAATCTCATCTATTCACAATTAAAACTTATTGTAGGGCTTCTCTGGTGGCGCAGTGGTTGAGAGTCCACCTGCCGATGCAGGGGACACGGGTTCGTGCCCCGGTCCGGGAAGATCCCACATGCCGTGGAGCAGCTGGGCCCGTGAGCCATGGCCGCTGAGCCTGCGCGTCTGGAGCCTGTGCTCCGCAACGGGAGAGGCCACAACAGTGAGAGGCCCGCGTACCGCAAAAACAAAACAAACAAAAAAACCCCAAAAAAACTTATTGTAAGTGAATAGAAAGCAAAGAGAATAATACATTTGTTAGAAGCATCTTAAATTGAGGTTTAATTAATTCCTGACCTATGCTATCCTAATTATTATAGCTTCAGATTTTTGCACAGTACTTGCATTTAATTAAAACTTTTTCTGTTTTAAGGCCCTGTTACCCTTGTTTGGAATTCAGCAGCATTTTGTTTTATAAGTATCCCTTCCCCCACTCAACTCCTTAAAGTTCTGCTTCAGTTCAGGCCTCCTTGTGAAGGTCTTCTCCGCTCATCTTATCCTCCTTCTTCCCTGAATTATTACTTTATGTAGAGTCAGTACCATGAGGTTTAGTATTAATTACCCTCTACAGAGCATAGCTACCTTAATTACACTCTATACTTGCCTTGAGGGTTGTGCATAATATTTATATTTATATATAGGTACCCATGTTTATTTCAAAAGGAAACATAAAGGAAAGATCATTCTTTTTTAAATTGCATTTCCTGAATTAACTACATAGCATTTACAGAGCCATAACTGTCTCATGGTAGGACCGTATTAAACTGAATAACTCACCAATAATAGGCTTGGTGCAGGTGGCACACTTTTTGGCATAAAGATGATTGTAGCAGTCCAAGCAGAATGCATAATCATCTCTGGACATAAAGTCTTCTTCACAGAGCTCTTTCCTACAGCCACTGCACAGAAAACACTCTTTATGCCATGGCTGGTCACAAAACATTATCCCACCTGAAGTCATCACCTGGCAAATGATCACAAAAAAGGCAATGACTGTGGAAGTTATTACAATTCAGACCTTTTGTGATTCTCTTCTGTGCCCACAAGTGGTACTTTGGGCTACTCTATCACATTGTGTCAGGATTGTCTTTTCCCTGTGATTTTTTTGAATCTATATGAGAAACAGAAGGCTACAGGGATTAAATAGGACTGGTGATAAATGTCCTAATTTTTCTCCTACAATGGAACAGAAAGGAAGCAGGACCATAATGAACTCAGGAAGATGAAAAAGAAATAGGCCCTTGATTCCTTTGCTCATCTTTCTCTTTCTTGTTGTTTTTCAAAGATCTGTTTTTAGAGCTAAGATATTTTATATGCTATGTTCTTATGTCCATGTATAACTTTTAAAGATCCTAAGGAGAAAAAAAAACCTGTTTTTCTTCCTGAATGCTTTATTCCAGCAGTAGTAACCCTGAAAGGAATTGATCAACACCATAATCTGCTAATAATGAATAATATTTCTGAGGTGTTTTTTCAGTCTTCAACCCTGTTCTTAACTTCTTCTAAACATTCTCGACATCCTGACACAGTAGGGACTATTATCTTTCTCCCTTTAGAGATGAGCAACTACTAAGAGTTGGAGTAGTTAAGTCACTTGCTAGGGTCACACAGAGCTAGCATTCAAACCTGCACAGCCTTATTCTGCAGCCCATGTGCTTAACCATGAACACAGTACTGAGATTAGATTACTTTGCACTGATAAGCAGTTGACAAGTCTTTGTTGAATGAATGAACAAACACTAAGGGGAAAAATGTTTGGAAAGCAACTCCAGTATTGTATCTAGCACAGATAGGCGTGCTCTGGGCAACTGTGTGAGTTTGCAGCATTAGGGCTCAAAGCCATAAGTGCTGGTTGTACATTGAACCTTAATGTGTGATATGCTAGGGTTTTGCAGAGATGCTTGTTATTCCTCCATAAGATTTATTTTCTAAACCAGTTTAATCTGGATTTTACTTTTTTAAAGGCTGAGATATCTTTATTTAAAAATCAGATGGAAAAATATTAGACAACTTTTCTTGTGTAGCAATTTTTAAGTCATAGCATCTTTCAAATCCACGGCTCTTGAGGTCCTGGGTTGTCCGGGGAACCTGGTATATGCTCATGGAAATGTCTTATAATGACTGAAGCAGTGTGATATCTGAGATGCCGCCTGTAATCTTTGTATACAAATTAAGTAGATATAGAAAAAGTAGTCTATTCTGAGCCATCCTATTGTGACATCTAAGTATCCTATAGCCATCCTATAGGATACTTGTCTATCCTATAGGCTTTTGAAAAGATGATTCTAAAAATATTTTAAAATCTTACAATGACTGTCTTAAAAATTAAAGACACTTGATAGAAAGTTATTTTTCACAAAGGAGAAAAAGTATACTATTCTAAATAAGTAAATAGGAAACATAATGGTGTGTGTGAGCTAAAGCAATTTAAAATGCCCCCCCTACTGACTTCAAAGGCCTTACAGAAGGCACAGCAGAGTTCCAGATTCCTTTGATTCGTTTGGTCAAATGATTAGCAGGCAATGCTTAAAAGATTCAAAACTTGAAAACTGTATTCACAGCAAAATAAAACTTGATGTACCCTCCAAAGATCGTTTCATTAGGGAGAAGAAACTCTGGAACATTAAAAATTGTTTGCTTGTGATTATATTCTTTTGAAGAGGCAGACGGGCTAAGATGAAGTCTAATATGCAAGCGTGGTTTTCGCTACTGATTGATCCCGGGATTTAGAGCAAGTTTCTTCTCTGGCAAAATGGAGGCAATAATGATTTTGCACCCAGTGGATGAAAGCTGATGAATGACAGAATACTCTGTGTGAAACTTGAGGAGTTTGAATTCAGAGTACTACAGGTTGAGGTTACGTGCTTTTTGGTAGAAAATAGATTTTATTTTGTGAAACTAAAATGTATGAAAAAAGTTCTGTGGGCCTGATGGTCAAGTAGTTTTTGCTTATTTTCTTTTGTTTTATATTTGGTCTTTGGCTTGGGTTGAAACAAATTGTTTTTCTTCAGCTTGGATCATCTTGATCCGAAACATTTATATCCAGCTTTACTTAAAGGACTTGTGGTTTTAAAAAATTAAATAGAAAATAATCTGGCATGTTGTGATCTGTCTACTACCCAATAGAATCATTTCATAAATTTTTCGGTGACTTCAAATCATGTCCTAACTATAGGGCAGGCTCCTCTAACCTGGGAAACGCCAGGGCTTTGGCCCCAGATAGTGCTCAGCTCTGATGATGTACTAGAGAAGTTCTCTTGACTCTTTATGGCATTGAAAGAAACTTTATACTGTGTGCCCAACAAATGATTTTAAGATGAGTCTCACGAGTGTCACTAATATTTTAGTGTAAGTCCTTAAGAAACGTAGCCTAAAAATGGCCAACTTAGTTGTCCTGCAAAACAGTGAGATAAATCTATTTTATTTCCAGCACCCCTTTCTAAATGCATGTCATTGACTGATAATTTTTCGGAGCTTCATCTGTCACAGAGTCATAGGGTCTGACTGTTTCTTGTAAAGTCATTTTCTAAGTTGTTGGAAGTCTTCGGGTGTAAGATGGTTTTGTAGCATGTTACTTTCAACTGTAATTTTCAGCCATCATGACAGTGTAATTTAATAATTATAACATAGGGGTTGATTGATGCCTCTTCAAATGCAGTACCAGTATTTTAAGTATATATGGAAAATCGTTGAGTGTGTGTGTGTTTGTACATGCATTTGTAGAAAGTGGCAATGACAATTCAGATGCAAGTATGCAAATGGTCTTAAGAGACCTGCCAGAGTAGCCTGTAGATCAAAAATGTTTAGAAGCCACTGGACTTATCCAATATGTTTTCATGATTCAAGCTTTCTCATCACAAGTTATAGGGTTATTTGAAACTTATGACGCCTCACAGGTCAAGAATTTCTTTGAGAACATCGATATATATTTATGGAATACAGACAGACTTTATCAAGGTGATAGAGATGAGTGACTTTCATGTAAAAGCTTAGAGGATACAAAAAGAATTGGACCATGTTTACTTGGAAAAAAATGACTTTTTTTCCTATTGGAAAATATGTTTTGAATGGGTGTCCAAGTTGAAAGGCCCTGCATGGAGCTCTGGAGCTGGAGGTGAAGGAAACCACTTGCAGTTCTTAAGTCATCTTTCTGTCTTTCTGTCTAATGAATTTCCCTAAAGATCTTGTCAGTCTCTTGAGTGTCACTCTCTTATCTATCCACTCCTTTTTTTTTTCTAACATCTTTATTGGGTATAATTGCTTTACAATGGTGTGTTAGTTTCTGCTGTATAACAAAGTGAATCAGCTATACATATACACACATCCCCATATCCCCTCCCTCTTGAGCCTCCCTCCCACCCTCCCTATCCCACCCCTCTAGGTGGTCAAAAAGCACCAAGCTGATCTCCTGTGCTATGCGGCTGCTTCCCACTAGCTATCTATTTTACATTTGGTAGTGTGTATATGTCCATGCCACTCTATCTCTTTGTCCCAGCTTACCCTTCCCCCTCCCTGTGTCCTCAGGTCCATTCTCTATGTCTGCGTTTTTATTCCTGTCCTGCCCCTAGGTTCATCAGAACCATTTTTTTTTTAGATTCCATATATATGTGTTAGCATACAGTATTCGTTTTTCTTTTTCTGACTTACTTCACTCTGTATGACAGACTCTGTGTCTATCCACCTCACTACAAATAACTCAATTTCGTTTCTTTTTATGGCTGAGTAATATTCCATTGTATATATGTGCCACATCTTCTTTATCCATTCATCTGTCAATAGACACTTAGGTTGCTTCCATGTCCTGGCTATTGTAAATAGTGCTGCAGTGAATATTGTGGTGCATGTCTCTTTTTGAATTATGGTTTTCTCAAGGTATATGCCTGGTAGTGGGATTGCTGGGTCATATGGTAGTTCTGTTTTTTATCTACTCTTTAGAAATATAAAAGCTTCAAGCTTAGAAGACATTTATATTGCTTGGACATGATGTGAGGAGTGAAATATCCTGTTTAAATTGGTTCCCTTAGTCACTCTGTGAGACAAATCCATATCTCTCTGAAATTAAATGGATCAAAAATTTTCTAAGAAATATTTTGTATTCAAAGAGAGACGTGGGCCCTCTACCAGAACATGTGAAATCTTGCCTGAACAGCTGTGAATGGAACTGGAATATCAAATCACTTAAGCCTTTGGAACATTAAATTCATGTTCTGGGTGGAATTTTATGGTGATAAAAATAGATGGGCCTCCTCACTGTGACAGGTAGTGCTTTCGAACATGTTGGAATTCAAAATTAACATGAATGTGCAAAGATGGATATAACATGATAGTATCAGTTCATTGCAAACATATAATGCTGCTGCAAAGCGATGGTTTGGAAGATTTCACAAGCTTCATCCTCTTTAGATATTTACCTCCTTAAAAAAGCTGCAGTAGTGAGCAAACTCCATCTCAAAACACGGCACACAATAATTGCCACTCTCTGTGGAAATCAAAGGTTTAGCTCCTATTGGCTGTCGGCAATGCTCGCACACAAGGCAGGTTTCATGCCAGTAGTTTCCCTTAAATTTCATTTTCCGGGAACCTGTACCCCCAAAGTAAGAACCTGTTAGTACAAATCAAGCATAATTGTTCTTTTAAGCAATAATATGTCAAATTACTTAAAATATATACTAAAGGTGAAAAAAAGCAATCATCCATATAGAAAAAATAGCGTTTACTGGTTTCCAAAACATTTATCTGAAAAAAGAGGTCAATAAATAGAGTTCAGCCTACGATGATGGTGAATCACTCTTTCGCTGGAAACTCTTGTGCCGTTTCACAATTTTGAGATGTGAAAGTACTATAAATGTAGACTCTGAAAGGCTGCACATGCTTCAGATAAACTGGGACATAATAAGCATTACAGGGATATTAGGCATGCCCAAGGCATAAACTCCTGAGATTGATGTTGTGTAGTTATCGTCTCCTAGAAAATCTTTGAACCTATAATAAGAAATGAGAGAGAATTGTTCGTATGCTGCTGTCCATAGGGATTGAGAAGAGGATCAAAACAGAGAATTAGTACTTGCCTAAAGGTGTAACAATTTACTTGGATCCTTGTTTTCCCTGAGAGAAAATAAAGATGACTGACCTTCACACCAGTTTGTGTTGAGCTACAAAATGATGATTGGTCCCATTGTCCTATGATGGATTATGTTTTCTGATGCTATTGGTTCTGCCTAGGACAGGGTGTTTAGTGCAGTGTTAGTATAATTTATTGGTATAGATTTTATCTTTATTCCATGGCTCAGTTTCTGGTTCAAAATGTTTCTATGAATTAGGTTTATGAAAAAACACAAAAGACAGTACTTTGCCCATTGGAGACAGAAAGAATAATCTTTTCATGTCTAAAGTACACTAAATGAGATAAAGAGATAGCAGAAAGATGTCTTTCTGCAAAGCAGCGTTTTGTATAGTATAGTCCCCCCCTTTATCTGTGAGGGATACCTCCCACGACCCCCAGTGGACGTGTGACACTGCAGACAATACCGAACCCTATATATATATATACTATGTTTTTTTCCCATACATACAGAGCTATGTTAAAGTTTATTTATAAATTAGGCATTGCAAGAGATTAACAACAATAACATAATAAAATAGAACAGTTATAACAGTATACTGTAATAAAAGTTATGTGAATGTGGTCTCTCTCTCAGAATATCTTATTGTACAAGTTTAATGCCTTTTCCATCTTAACCAAGCACCTATCATGCTCTGTGGCCGTAACTTTTGCAGTTGGAGGTGCAAAACTAGCACGAATTTCTTTTTCCTCCTTCACAATTTCATGGATGGAAAATTTGTTCTTACATTAGATCTTAGCAACCTCAGCATACAATTTCTTTCCTTATTAAGTTGAGAACTTCCTTTTCATTTAAAGGAAGAACTTTATGGCTTTTCTTTGGCATACCTGAATGGCCAGCATCACTACTCTTGCACTTTGAGGCCATTATTAACTAAAATAAGGGTTTCTTGAACACAAGCACTGCAGTACAGCAACAGTCTGATCTGATAACTGAGATGGTTATTAAGTGACTACTGGCCAGGATGCTCTGGACAAAGAGATGATTCACGTCATGGGCAGGATGGAGGGTTATTTCATCACACTACTTAGAAGAGCACACAGTTTAAAACTTAAGAAACTTTTACTAGTGGAATTTTCCACTTAATATTTTCAGACTTAATATTTTTGGCCTCGGGTAATTTTTGTTTGTTTGTTTGTTTGCGGTACGCGGGCCTCTCACTGTTGTGGCCTCTCCCGTTGCGGAGCACAGGCTCCGGATGCGCAGGCCCAGCGGCCATGGCTCACGGGCCCAGCCGCTCCGCGGCATGTGGGATCTCCCCGGACCGGGGCACGAATCCGTGTCTCCTGCATCCGCAGGCGGACTCTCAACCACTGCGCCACCAGGGAAGCCCTAGCCTCGGGCAATTTTAACCATGGAAAGTGAAACCGTGGATAAGGGGGGACTAATGTACTACACTCTTCCTGTGCTTGGGTTTAATTCAAAGCATTGCAGGTTCAGTTATAGACCAGAAGTGCCTTGCGATCTTACCAGGCATGATGGTCTTCTTACAATGGAAGCACTGGGAGGAGCACTCGTTAGAATAGTACTTGGAGCACAGCAGGCACTCATCCTTGGCAGCAGAAGGCTTTTCCACCAAAGACTGATTGGATTTGGCGTAATTGAAGCATCCTTCATGCCAGTGATGACCTTTGTAACAAAGATCCTTTGAGACAGTAAGTAAAAGTTAAGTATGTTTGTGACAGAACAGGCCATTTTGTAAAACAATACTAAACACTCCTGGGACTCTGGTGCCAGTAGGTGGTGCTGGTAGCTTGAGGGCATGTTGTTATTGATACTGTTACCCATAGAGAGGAGACTCTCTGGGGCAATTAAGAACTAGAGCCTGGGGCTTCCTTGGTTGGTCACAAAAGACAGATGGAAAATAAGTGTACTCTCCTGTTTCTTCAAATTTCCTCTACCTTCCTTTTATAAACTATAAGAAAAGATTTTCATGGAATGATTTTTATTTTTAGGTTGTAACATCCTATTACTGTTTGAGATTTCCCTAAACAAAATCTCAACACTAGTTAACTAAAACAAAGACCTCCCCCGCTCCCCCCCAAAAAAGGAGAAAAAAATAATAATAATGTGCATTCTGGGAGGAATGGGTGTGTGTGTGAGACGTATCAGCGCACAGTGGTTTAATGAAGATGAGGCTAATGTGAAGTGAGAAGATACAGGTTTTTGAATCTTTACGGCTCCAATTATTTATATAGTTATTCACTTATACGCTTATCATTCTAGAAATAACATTTCAGCTGTGTAACTTTGGGCAAATAACTTCGTTAATCTTCAGCATCCTGAGCTATCTCCCAAGATCATTGTAAGGATTAAAGTGTATCTTATGTGTCACAGTGCTGAGCATAGTGCCTGGAACTTGATTGATGATAGCTTTGAAAATCCTTATATCTAGTAGCAGAGCATTAGAGTATTAACAGTCAACACTCAAGAAAAACAGGCATTCCAAAGCACTTGTCTGCTGTTCTTATGCAATAATTCTGTGAACTGAGGTAAGGCCTACCTTGGAATCTGATTCGATTGGTTCTTTGCACTCCTCACAATAGTTAGCAGAGGTACGATCATAACAAGTAACACGGTGTGGATTGTGATCCTCTAGTACATACTTCCCAAGAAGTGATGCCGTGCAGTGTTGACAGTCAAATTGAGCAGTTGTCATTTTGGCTTAATCCTATGAATAAAAAAATAATTTATGTATATAAAGGCAAAATTTTTGGTAAGATAAATTATAAAGCCTCAATACAACATGAGTCAAGCACTTGAACAGATTTATATTTTCTTATATGAACACCCACCAATTTAGGAAATATGCTGTAGTCATGGTGACACTTGGAGTGATTTAGAAGAGGCTACTGTCCCATCTTGGCAGTTCCTGTGTGTTTTACTAGCAAAATGCATTAAACCGGCAGCCAGAGTGTGGAAAAAACATCTTGTATTCCTCATTCACTAATGTGGAATTCAATGAGAATGTAATATGTGTTGAAATAGGATGGTTTCACCTCAAGGGTATAAATACGAAATGTCGATAGAGCTTTCATTAACTGTCATCACTTACTGTCTTGTTGGAGAGTGCTGGAGGTGGAGTTCCATGGGGATAACAAGAGTCTTTTTTTTTTGCTCTAACTGAAATAGAAATTACTGATCAAGTACATTGTCATTTTCCCTGCCATCCTTTTATTTCCCAATTCTTTGTCGGGTACCTAGTGAGGGTTCTGCACATTAGTCCTAAGGTCTTCCTGTACCATAGACTCTCCCTTGGGATGTCCTCCTTACCTGTGGCTTCAACCTCCCTAAATATACTGTTGACTTAAATCTCTAGCTTTAGCCTGTTCTTCATTTGCCTCCTGGACATCTCCACTTAAATGCCCCACACTTGGCTGGTCAAATAAAACTCCTCAGCAGTGAGGATTCAGTCCAAGTGTTAGGTCTTTGGGACTGCCACTGAGCAGTTTTCCAGATGTGGACATGCAGTTAAAACCATCAGAGGTAGAAAAGAGCTATCGGATTCTTCAGGTTTTAGGGCTAAACTAACATGTACACAGAAGGAAGAATAACAGCAGCATTTTATAGAATGAAAAACATAAAGCCAAGGTCAGGATAAGAATTCTAGTTATTTTGTAAATTAAAAAACAAAACACGTGGATTTCAAAAGGGTTTAATTAGGCATCGAACACAAGTTTTTCATTGTCACCAAAAATAGTACCACTGATTTTCTTGGAAAATAAATATATTGGGAACTATGAATATTTTCTAATTCTCCACACCAGAAATTTGTTTTTTTAATTTTAGCAAAATCAGAAAATCTATTGATTATTGGGATGATTTTTACAACATTTTTAATGCCAGTTTTTATTTACTACATTCAAATTGCATTCTCACATATTTTGCCACCTTTTATTTTAATGATGAAGTTTCCAGCCAGTGTCTTGCTGAATGTACATTGTCATTAATTCTGTTTATAGCAGATCTTTACTAACAAAGAAAAGACTAAGGACTTAGAATATATGTGTCTTTTCCCAGGAAAGATGAAAATTTAGACTAGAAGTTCCCAGGGGAACATGCCAAAATTATCTGCAGGGAACACTGAATTCCCTATTTGATTAATTCCACAGAAATGTCCCTTTTTAGTGAATACAAACACACTAAAAGGATTGCTGAGAGCTTGGAAACTGGAGGAAATAGATCTAAATTCCCTGAAAGATCTAAAAATGCAAATTTTATTCACGTTTACAGTGATCAAGTGTTTATGTCTTAATAGTGAAATACGGTATATACCTTTAACTTTCATCACTTAATATGGAAAATACCATTTTCATTGTTAATATTTCTTTAGTTTTAGATGTATATAATAGCACCATGAAGCACAGCCTCTCAGGACTTAGGAACTCCCAGACTACTTCCATTTTGTGAGGCTTTTAGTATATTATAAAATGAAGAAACACCAAAGGTATCACAAAATTGGTAGAATTTCAAGTTTTTATTTTAAACAACACTCTAAATACAACATTATAATACCTGTACCTCATTTGGTGATCAGAAGTCTAAATATCTAAATAAATATTTATTTTATAATATAAATATTGATATAGAAATATATATCAGTGAATATAAATACTTGTCTAAATGTAAGTACAAGAAGATCCTGCCCCATCCCCATTCTAATCACATAATAGGCCTTGCTCCATAAAAATTCTTAACAAAATTGACCCTATCTTCTCCAGTTTTTTAAAGGAGAAAGTACATCTTATTCCATCTGTTTTTTAAAAGCGAAGTCAGGGAGTTGGGGAGGGTGAGAAGAGTCAGTTCAATATCTCAGAGCTATGTAATTTTGCATTTTATAGTTATACAGTGGGAGTAGGCATTTGGTCCAGGTCAACATGTGTTAAATGTCTACTCTGTAATAGTTGAAGTCCCTGCCCTCAAGAAGTCTGGATTCTCTTAGCTCTTACCTTGGTAATAGTGAATATAATTTGAGATAAGGAACAAACTGAACGTTTGTGCTCTTATTCTTAGTTGGGGAAAGTACACTAAGAAATTCAGTCCTCATTTTCATAAAGTCTATCGTTTAACTATGGGTATATGAATACATCTATATAGAGTTTCTTAGAGGTGTTATAACCATAAATATGATACACATTCCACTAGAACCATATAGCATTCTTAGCAACTAATAGAAAGGGGTGAGGAGCTACAGTAAAGGGAGACCTTTCTAAGAAGATTTGAAGGAAGTTAAGCTTTTGCAAGTCTGTTAGGAAGGAAGGAAGGGAAGAAGGATCTTGATTAGCAGGGAAGGAAGGGGAAAAGACAAATGGGAGAATGGCACAGGATTACATCCGAAGTTGGGGAATGGTGAGTCTTGCCAACAGATTTTCACCCGGGTCCATTCAGGATAAAGGAAGACCTTGAAACTATTTAAAGCTTTTCAAAGCTATTTGGACCTTTAATAAAAGCAGTTCTAAGTGGTGTGAGGGCAGGCAACAGAGGCAAGAGTATGAATTTTTCCAACTGGGTCACATTTCACCACCTCATTCGCTCCTAAACATCATTCTGTACTTTTTTCTTTCGCCTTTGTCTCTTTTTCCCCCCCTCTTCTTTGTCCCTTACATTAATATTTTTGAATAATCAGAGAATAACTAGGGTCCTCAAGAGCAGACCAAACGGCTAGTTTTTAATCATTTTCTAACAGGTAAAACTGTAGGAAAGGGGATAGGGACTATATGATTCTCATCTCAGGAACCCCCATCTGAGGGTTAATTTGGCAAAGATATTGAAAAATGTTTGCTTTCAAAGATTTAAAATCCTTGAACAGAGCTGATTTATAATTATGAGTCATAAGAAATCTTAATAGTATCCCAATTGAATAGCATTTAACTTTTCCTGGCATGAACTTTAGAAACATTAGTATCCATATCAATTAGACATTCTTGTCAAACTTTTCAAAAGGATTAGATTATATTCTTGCCAAACTTCTGTCAAAGTGATTCTGCAATTATGCAACAATTTAAGCACAGAATTTTTATCATTACATACTGGAGTTTCGGAAGACTGATTTAGAGGTACACCGATATATCAAAGAACCTATGAAGATAAGATAAATAGCTCAGAAGCCCAATGTCATGAATGCACTTGGCTTTCTTTTTCCAATTATTGCCCTTAGATTTTAGATTTCTACCTAAAAGCATGTGAGTTTATTGGTCCTAACTTCTGTAGCTGAGAGTGCTGTTTCTTACATGTTATTTTTAAAACCAGGAATAATCTTGTGTCAAGTTATGTTATATGGTGAGTTAATGATTAGAAGTTTAATGCTGTGAGCAGTATACTCACTTATATTTTTATTATGCTGAACAGATTCCCAAAAAGTATAGTTGAGAGAATATCAAGCAGGAGAGAGGCAAGGACTTGAGGCTATGCAGGGTATCTTTAATATGCTCTGGTTTGCAAGGCATCACACACCATTCATTCATTCTGTAAACAGGTAAATATGTTTTTTTTTTTTGCACAGTAATCTGCTAGAAGTTATGAAGGACATAAAAATAGACTAGACTCAAATCCCATCCTCAGAGAGCATATAATCCAGTAGGAAGAGTATGGACATTTTATAAATAACTAAAGAAAAGTTTGGAAGTGATAAGGAGAAATGAAAGGTTATGATAATTTAGAGCAATGGTTCTAAACACAATGCATGTTAGAATTTTTTAAATTTCCAAAGTGCACTCCTATTCGAAACCAATTAAATTGGGATTTCTGGGGGTAGAGAATAAGTATTTTTCAGCTCCCAGAAGGTTCTAATGTCCAGTGGTAATTAAAAACCACCAGTTAAGAGAAGGAGGAAGGAAATTACTTTTAGCTGGGAAAAATTCCGGAACAACTTAGAGAAAATGGCATTTGAATGGATCATGTGATAGCTATCATGGGTTGGTTCTCCCAACCCTGGCTCTATCCTCCTCCTAGTTGGAGAGGTCAGGCAGCTAAAGACATCTCCGGGACCCTCTTACAGCTAGTGTTGAGGATGCAGAATTGGTTCTGCTAACTCCAAACAGGTGTGTGTACATTGGAAGGTGGGAGTGATACGTTCCTGCTGCTTTGCTGCTGGCAGGCTGGGTCGTAGAAATGTGAGTGGTTTCCCCCATTCAGAATGCCTGGACTCAGGTTTTCCAGGGTCCAGGGACTTGTTTTCGGGTTGTGAGAGGTAGTCGTGGTAGTGGTATCAGTGGTGGCAGCAGGTTCCTGACCTCTGGATTACAGGGCAGAATGGGTGCTGTGGTGGGCAAAGAGCAGCCTCTACCATCCGTCAAGGAATTGTTAAAAATTCTAACAGTGAGTTCTAATGCTCCCGTGTGTTTCCTGAGAGCCAGGTACTGTGATAACCATTTTGTGTAGATTCTCTCTCTTAATCCTCACAACAATCCTGTAGGATGGGTCTATTATTAATATCCCAATTTGACAGATGAAGAAGCTTAGAGAGGCCAAGATAACTTGGCTGATAAAAATGCCAAATCCAGGATTTTATCCTACACCTGTCAGAAACTGAAGCCCAGGATCGAGCCTGTGTAAAGCTCTCCTTTCCTGAAGATGCTGAGGGAGGGCACTTGAGACTGACCAACAGAATTAGGAAAGATGTTTATACTTGAATACATGAGGCCTGCATGGAAAATAGCAAGTAATCTATTT